CACATTCTTTAAGCAAAATTCTAGAATCATCTTTATATTTTCTTTAGTACCTTTCTATCCCTGCAATCTAGCAGTGACTCCATATGAAATACTGTTAGACAAAATAATTCTCAATCCACAGGACACCGTAGTAAGTGAAATACTACACTATAAGGGACACTCTCTGGCTTGGATGCAATTGCTTTAACACCTAAAATCAAAGAGTGTAACTTAACAGACTCTTAATTCTAAATTTAGAATGTGAAATTATTCAGAAGAAAAAGCTGGAAAGATTTCATCACCTGGTAAGCAAACATATTCCTTTGATTTAACTTCTTAGCCTTGACCCATGAATCTTTACACATAAGGGGCACAAAAGTTGTTGACAAAATAAAATTAGTCCCCATATCATATTCAGCTTATAAAGGATTTCTAATTCTGGTGCTCTGAATATGGAACCACATTAAGTTAAAGAGACTATGTACATTCTGCACTTTTATCCTTCACTTTTATCTTGCTGTTACTTTTAGATATGACATCACATTTCCGGGCTAAGAATTATCAGGAAATGGGACCGAGGAAGAGTCAGGTCAAGTGGATTAGTACAAGTAATACTAGTTTTTGTGGAGTTGGTCTCTGATTAATGAGGGTGGGTAGACCAAAGGAGAAGCTTTCCTATCTGCTCCAGAAATTCACCACGTCACCATTCCCTTTGAGTAATAAGCAGAGAGTAAGTCGGCCAGTTTTCTGCACCAGGAGCTTGTAGGCTCTCTCTGAGAAGATTCTTCACTGCATAAGCCTGTATGGCTAGCCAATGAATGTGCCACTCTCCATCTGAAATTTTGAATGTCTATGTGTTAGTTCTACCCTTTCTATATAATACATGAGGAGTCTGTTGTATCCGTGGGTTGAAGAGGCTGTAAACTATTACTTTATTCTCTTTGCCCCAGGAGTGATTGTTTTCTAGCAAGAACCTTGACAAATATAAACATAAAATATAAAAGGGATATAAATATTTTTAAAATAATAATGAAAGGTTAAAGGTATAATAGTCCAAATGAGAGTATAGGTGTAGTGGGTCCTGCAGGCTGTGTGAATGCAGGGTGGCTGTCCTAGGGCAAGCAAGCCTGCCACGCCTGCAAGTGTTTGCCTCGGGTCCCTTGCCTTAGAAGTGTGGGAAATCCTACAAACAAAGATAGTCTCTAGCAGTCAAAATTGCCCTATGGGAACCTTGTAGTAGAGAACAGTTTTTTGTTTTTTAGACCTTGGATAGCATGTACATTTTATGGTGGGAGTAAGGATAGTGAATGATTTAGAGCTTTATTTCTAGGAATGTGTGCTAAAAGTAGATTCTAGAAGTCTTAGTCTTTTATTTCCAATTTCCTCCCATTTTGCAGTTGTAAGAGAACTTTGAAGGATGCCACAGTTGTTTTGTTTCAAAATAGTTAAAGAGCAAAATGGAGGATATTAAAGCAATGAGGCAGCAACTATTCCATAATTAAATCTAAATCATAAAATGGTCGGTCATGATAAGAATGGAAAATACTACCCAAACTGCCCAGTTTTATGAGAAATAGACTTGTTCTTTTATATATAGAAATTCGTCTTATAACAATAAAAAATGTGCAGTCTTCATATATTGTAGTATCTGTCATTCTTGTGTAAAGCATGTTAAATTTTCTTAAAAGTAATTTTCTATTAAATTACATATTTTAAAAATAAACACATTGTGTTGCAAAATTTGCCAGCTGTATTAAGAATTTTCTGATCCTTTCAAAAATAAAAATTGTTGTTTTGGAACATTTTTTCAATTATCTTTGAGAACTATTTTTACTTTCTACTGTTTTCTGATTTTTTTATGGTATCTATTTATGCTATTTCCAAACAGCAGTGGGAATTACTGTTCTGGAGTCATGTTTCTGATAATGTGAAAACAGTATTGTTTGAGAGATTCTTCTCACCATGTTCCAAAGAGAAACCAGACAAAAGCTGTTTTTAAAACTCATCTTATTATTTGGGTGCTAGGTTAAGCGATATGCCAGTGCTACTGATTACTCAGCAGATGACAGCAGTGCAGTCAAATGGAGCTTGGTTTTTGGGGTAGGGAACATTTGACTTTGCGACTTTTCTTCCATTTCACATTAGAAAAATCACCAACAATAACAACAATAAAAAAGAAGTTGATCCTATTTCGAGTTAGTGTTAAATATCAAGAAACTGATGAAAAGGGGCTCATACTCCCAGTTCCAGGATATCCTGAACCCAAATGCTGACTTCTTCAGCCCCCACTCATGTTAAGAACTAGTTTATGGTTAACGTTATTATGCTTTCAAATAACATTAATGATTTTAAAGCACTGAATAAATACTGGTGTTTCAGGGGATGTGAATAATTCTGTTCCCTTAAGGTTATTTAATCAAAGCTCAATCTTGCCTTTTGCAGCCTTGCTAAGGTTATTGTTACTTAGTATGCATCAATAAATAAACTTTCAATTATCTTGGTAAGCACATCCAAAAATAGCATGAGAATCAAAAGGCGATGGTGTATCCAGTAATTGTTCCAAATAAATAATTTTGATAGATAGGATCTTTGCTTAATTTCAGATGAAATAGAAATCTATGAAATTTAATTAGTTTTGCTAGAGTTAAACTATGCAGAAATATTCTGTGAAAATGCCTATTTTATTTAAACTAAAGATTCCTGTCTTCTACAGCAATTATAACTTTACCTAAGTCATTTTTTTTTGCACATCCTTTACAATTGATTAATTTACAAGCAGATATTTTAAGCCAATCGAGGTTGAGGGCTTTCCTATTACTGTTTTTAAAATAATTACTACAAATAAGACAGTTTTGTTTTTCCCGTTGGGCATTTTCTTTTTTTATCATGTTTGTTGCGTATGTTAACTAATACAACAATGACCTAACCCAGCTAACTGAAAGGAAGCCATATTCTTTAAAGTGTGCGTGTGTGCATGAGTGTGTGTTGCACACACATATGCAAGTGCTTTGCACACTCAATGTGTTGTGGCAAATTCTATTGCCTGTGATTCCTAAATTACTTTCTGAAAGCATATTTCAGGATATTTATTCACATTTCTTCTGTTATCTGATGAAATTCCTGCTCATAATATATGTGTTCTTATTTTCTCAACTGTGTTTTGGTGTTTTAAAGAAAAAGACTCCTAGTAGAAATTCCCTGGAAATAGTTTACAGGACTAATGAATTTGTAGGTCTTTTAGACAGTTCTGCATTACAGTCACATTAATATTCTCTCCTTTTTTATAAGACTTGAAGTAAATCCCATGACACTAGAAGAATTTAGATACTGATTACTTGCGATTGGTTCCTGGTGATTTGCTCTTAATAATTTCCAGTTGAATTTAATGAAAGTATGATTCCTGAAATGCTGCTTCATTAAAATTGCATCTTTCCCCCTTTAAGTATGGTTTCGGTCATTTCATCCATTTTGCGGTGGTTTTCCTCCCCCTTAAAAAGTAATGATTGAGAAAGAAGAAACAATTAAGAATATCACTTTAGTTCTCCCTCTACCTCACCCCCAGAGTTTCTCTGAGTAAAATGATGAAAGCTGCACCTCGTCAGGATTTTACGATTTTTTTCAATGTGATGAGATTACTTAAAAAAATAAAGTTTTAGAGAGAAACATATTACTATTTGAGACAATTGAGGGGAAGTGGAGAATGTTGCATATACAGGAGAACTAAGTTCTTTAGTGTTTTTACTAAAAAAGTATAAATCTTGATTAAGTTACTCTGTGCAGTATTCAGACTTAATTTAACTGAGGTGGTGATTTGCAAATGAATATCTACATGGATCCTTTTTAAAAAATCCAAATGCAAATGAGTACAACTGCAGTAAAATATATTTGCAAATGAATCCTGTTGCTTTATTCATTTATTGTGTAATTACTGCAATCCTTCCCACCTTGTTTTCAGTATTTCTTAATCATTAAGTCGGAAGCATGACAGCAGTGCCAGCCCTGGCATGATTCTCTTTGACTAAAACCTTGTAAATTAACACAATTAGCACAGCATCATCCTGCTAATTAACTTCCAGTGTCTGGTGCAGTGGTTTTGCAAACAAGGAAGAAGGAGTCAGAAGGGAATCAACATGCCATTCTGTTACCAAACTGTGTGCTGTGTTCAGTTTAGCTCAGTAAGTCAAAGCTGGCCATGTCAGAAGCCAGAATAAGGCATTGAAGAGCCAAAGGGGTGGAAGAGAAAAGCAGAAGGGGGTAGGAACTGTCAAAATAGACCACAGTAATTCTGAAGGGAGCTGATGCCACAGATGCTTCATTTAGACCAGGCCTCCTTCTTATCAAGGAATCTCTGCCAGAAGGCACCAGACAGTTTACAAAATTCACTTTGGGTAATACAAAAGAGATTAAGGAGGCCTGCTTAATATAGCTGGACCAGAATAGGAAGTGTTCTAACTCAGCAGAGATTAGAATGAGATGAGCCAGCACCAGGAGACAGAATGGGTTCCAGTGCTCGTCTGTAACTAACTATATGTGCATCCCCAAGGGGACCTTGTAAATCCCTTTGGGCACTAGTACCCTAATCTGTGAAATGTAGTCATTTCTAAGGTCTGTTAAAACTTTAAAATTCAAATGAATCCCTAATACCAACTGCTTAGTATTTTCTCTTAAGTGAGAAAATATTCCTGCTGTATAGTCTTGTTGTTTCATTCACTTAATAATCTATCAGGTAATGAAATTATCCACACCATCTTGCTATCGAGGTGCTCTCTCAAGTTATTCCACGGACTACTTCCCGTGGAAATGTAAAGAATTAGAATCCAGATTCTCTATTCTTATCTGTGCTTTCACCTCTCGACCCCCACTTCTTTCTCTCTGTGTGTATGTGTGTGTATGTATTTTTCCCCTTCACTCCCAATACCTTGCAGCCTCTAAGGCAGAGGGAAGGATTATAAGAGAAGGAGGGCGAACACTAGCTAGAAGACCGACAGACAAGTGATGCTTGTTTTTTTTTTTTTTTTCAGAGACTCAACAACAGAACTGAGAGGCAGAAAGGAGCCAGTTGTAATTCATACCGAGTTGTAGGCTTTGTGCGATGAAAGCGATGGAGCGCTGCCTGGGAGATTGCTTTGCTGCACTCCACGAAGCAGATTTGAAACTGTCGTGGACCACTTTAGATGAGAGTTGGATTATGGAATGACCTGCTATGTCTGTGTCATATTGTTCTGCGCAGGGAGCATTATACTGTGCTAACTAGGTGTTCAGTACCAAATAAGAGAGGTATCCTAGATGTGATCTGTCAGCTGTGTCTCATTTTTATATTGGTTAAAATATAAAACAGAAACTGTGACGTGAAGAGACAGCATAGCCAGATATTGCACATGTTAATACTATCACGCTGTAGATATTTAAAATATACGCATATTTTGCTGTAAGGATCTGTGATTGAATTCTAATCTGACAGGAATGTGTGTGTACATATATATGTATATATCGCTCTCTATATACGCATGTGTTGTGTGTGTGTAGGAAGTAACTTAATAGGCTTAATCGAAATAGATTTGCTTATTACTTAAAAATGAAAAAATAGATCTTCTGAAGAGTTTTTGTTTAAATTCAATTTATGTTTTGCGCTGGATTGAAATTCAGTGCATGGCAAAAAGGTACATACTGTATGGGAAATCTTTTAACAATGTCATTATCATTCATGGAAAATAACGGGTAAGGAGAATTCGGGGAGACTAGCTTTAACAGTTATTTGATAAGTATCTAAGTAAATGAACTTTGTCCCCCCAAATCCCTAGGCTTGAAGATGCAGTGGACGCCGGAGCATGCCCAGTGGCCAGAACAGCACTTTGATATCACGTCAACCACTCGGTCTCCTGCCCATAAAGTGGAAGCCTACAGAGGTCATTTGCAGCGCACCTATCAGTATGCCTGGGCCAATGATGATATATCTGCTCTGACTGCATCCAACCTACTCAAAAAATATGCAGAGAAGTATTCCGGCATTTTGGAAGGCCCCGTGGACCGACCTGTACTCAGCAACTACTCAGATGCACCATCGGGACTAGTGAATGGTCGGAAAAATGAAAGCGAACCCTGGCAGCCTTCCTTGAATTCAGAAGCTGTGTATCCCATGAACTGTGTTCCCGATGTTATCACTGCCAGCAAAGCTGGAGTCAGTTCAGCCCTCCCTCCAGCAGATGTCTCTGCCAGTATAGGGAGCTCTCCTGGGGTGGCCAGCAACCTGACAGAACCAAGTTATTCCAGTAGTACCTGTGGAAGCCACACTGTACCGAGTCTTCATGCAGGGCTCCCATCTCAGGAATATGCCCCCGGATACAACGGATCATATTTGCATTCTACTTACAGTAGCCAGCCAGCACCTGCACTTCCTTCACCTCATCCGTCTCCTTTGCATAGCTCTGGGCTCCTACAGCCTCCACCACCACCTCCTCCGCCACCGGCCCTGGTCCCAGGCTACAATGGGACTTCTAACCTCTCCAGTTACAGCTATCCCTCGGCGAGCTATCCTCCTCAGACTGCTGTGGGATCTGGGTACAGCCCTGGGGGTGCACCTCCTCCTCCGTCAGCATACCTGCCTTCAGGAATTCCTGCGCCTACGCCCCTGCCCCCCACCACTGTTCCTGGCTACACCTACCAGGGTCACGGTTTGACACCTATCGCGCCCTCGGCTCTGACAAACAGTTCCGCGAGTTCTCTCAAAAGGAAAGCTTTCTATATGGCAGGGCAAGGAGATATGGACTCCAGTTACGGAAATTACAGCTATGGCCAACAGAGATCTACGCAGAGTCCTATGTACAGAATGCCCGACAACAGCATTTCAAACTCAAATCGGGGGAATGGCTTTGACAGAAGTGCTGAAACATCATCCTTAGCATTTAAGCCAACGAAGCAGCTAATGTCCTCTGAACAGCAAAGGAAATTCAGCAGCCAGTCCAGTAGGGCTCTGACCCCTCCTTCCTACAGTACTGCTAAAAATTCATTGGGATCAAGATCCAGTGAATCCTTTGGGAAGTACACGTCGCCGGTAATGAGTGAGCATGGGGACGAGCACAGGCAGCTCCTCTCTCACCCAATGCAAGGCCCTGGACTCCGTGCAGCTACCTCATCCAACCACTCTGTGGACGAGCAACTGAAGAATACTGACACGCACCTCATTGACCTGGTAACCAACGAGATTATCACCCAAGGACCACCAGTGGACTGGAATGACATTGCTGGTCTCGACCTGGTAAAGGCTGTCATTAAAGAGGAGGTTTTATGGCCGGTGTTGAGGTCAGATGCATTCAGTGGACTGACGGCCTTACCTCGGAGCATCCTTTTATTTGGCCCTCGGGGAACAGGCAAAACATTGTTGGGCAGATGCATAGCTAGTCAGCTGGGGGCCACATTTTTCAAAATCGCCGGTTCTGGACTAGTTGCTAAGTGGTTAGGAGAAGCAGAGAAAATAATCCACGCCTCTTTCCTTGTGGCCAGGTGTCGCCAGCCCTCGGTGATTTTTGTCAGTGACATTGACATGCTTCTCTCCTCTCAAGTGAGTGAGGAGCACAGTCCAGTCAGTCGGATGAGAACCGAATTTCTGATGCAGCTGGACACTGTACTAACTTCGGCTGAGGACCAAATCGTAGTAATTTGTGCCACCAGTAAACCAGAAGAAATAGATGAATCTCTTCGGAGGTACTTCATGAAACGACTTTTAATCCCACTTCCTGACAGCACAGCGAGGCACCAGATAATAGTACAACTGCTCTCACAGCACAATTACTGTCTCAATGACAAGGAGTTTGCACTGCTCGTCCAGCGCACAGAAGGCTTTTCTGGACTAGACGTGGCTCATTTGTGTCAGGAAGCAGCGGTGGGCCCCCTCCATGCCATGCCAGCCACAGACCTTTCAGCCATTATGCCCAGCCAGTTGAGGCCCGTTACATATCAAGACTTTGAAAATGCTTTCTGCAAGATTCAGCCTAGCATATCTCAAAAAGAGCTTGATATGTATGTTGAATGGAACAAAATGTTTGGTTGCAGTCAGTGATAACTTCTTTAAAAAAGAAAATGTAATGAATGTTGGCACACACACATAAAACCTGCTACATAGGGTTTAGAGCCCCTTTCCAGTAGTGTTTAAATCGCAAAAGGGTACTGGGGAAGACAACGATTAAATTGCATCTTTAGAGTCAGGGTAGATGTGGAGGAAAAAAATGCATCAAGTGAGAGCTTCTAATTTGAAAGCCCCAGATGACAGAAAGCATCTGTTGATGCTCAGTTTGGTTCAAGTTAGACAACACTCACCAAGGAGCAAGGTGCAAGTGTGTTGATTTCAGAAGGACATGAACCTCGTGTGTTGATTCCATTCTGCTGTTCTCGAGATTTAGTTGCTGTCAAGTGCCTGGAGTGGTGCTTTATTTTTTGTTTGCCTCACAATTACATTGGTGGCATGTGCTAATATAAAGAGCTTTAACTTCAAACATTATTGGACTAAAGAGATGAACGGTTGTGTTATGACAGAAAACCAGATTTTTGCCATTTTAAGAGCAACAGTATTCCTCAATCCTGTCTGTTCTGCAGTATTAAACTAAGAACAGGTAAAACAGGGTAACGGTAATCTGGACCTTAATTTCTGCAGTTCATTTCTTTTAATGTTCTTGTCTGCAAAAACTCAGGAAAGCGATTGTGATTTGTACAGTACCTCAAAGGAATGTGTTGAAAGCACTATGTACTGCTGAGAGTAATGGGATAGGCTTCAATGTTACTTTATATTAAAATGTATGTTTACCTCAACAATTGGAAAATAGCAAGGAAAATTTCTTTGAATGTATCCAGAAAAATACTGACGTGTGATACAACTGAAAATATTTACAATTTAAAGTAGAAACAAAAGGATTTTAAAACAAAGTTCTTTTACTAATTATGGGGAATTAACCTGAGCAGAATAATTCTTTATGTCAATAACTGCAAGAGTTCGTCGTACATTGCTCCTTGATATTAAGTGAAAATGTTCTTAAAAGGTACACTGGTTAATGGAAAGCTACTTTTCCGCTTGTGTTAGTGTCTAAAACAGTCCGTCACAAGACCTGTTTAGGACCCTGAAAGTCACAGTACCTGAAAACGAGGACTGCCTTTTACTGCATAGGTGGTAGTGGTGGTGGTGGTGGTGGTGGTGCAAGTTATCTCTTAAAACTGCTGGGAATGGTGTCATTCTGTTCACTAATCTAGCTTCTAGGCTCACCGTGATGTTTGACAGAATGCAGAAGATAGCAACCAAAACAAACAAATAATTAAATACAAAAAACCCAACCAACATATATATATTCATATATATATATACATATATATATATGTATATCCACAAAGAAACTGTACATCCCCTCTCCTCCTTTTTGATCCCTCTCTTGTCAGTGCAATTTTGCTTCTCATTTTGAAATCTGTGCTGTAGTGCTCCTACATTTATTTCTACCTCAGTTTTGTTACATTTCTCTTAGACAAAAAGTAGGAAATTGGAAAGGGACACACACACACATACACGAGCACACACACCCCTTATAGTTTCCCAAACATGTTACTTTTTCCTCCATCTTTTCCCATGAATCTAGTTTCTGAAAACATCAGCCTTCATCCTTACTTCCATCTCAGTCCACCCCTGCCCGATAGCATAGGGGGTATTTTTTGTCATTTCCCATCCTCTCCTGCACCCCACCAAGATGTTCTTTGTATCCTTTGACGCTTTATGTGCAACTTCTCATGATAGCTGACTGACGTTCGGCGATGCCTCTGAGCAGACAGTGTAGGCTGCAGCTTTCTAAAGCCTCTGCCTGTGCATAAGCAGAACAGCCTTGCTTTTTTAATGTATTTTTCTTGGTTTTTTTTTTTCTTCCCCTTTTCAACTGAGAGATGCAGTAGCAAAACTGTTGCAAAGCACTGGCGTTTTATGTATTCAAAAAGTGATGTACATTTTTAAAAATTTTAAATAAATGCAATGAGAAGCCCCAAGAAAGGTCTTTCTGTTATTGTTTTTTTCCTTCAAAAATTTTTACTGATTTCACCCACAATGTCAAATTACTGAAACACTTAACATAAAGAAAGCTCTGATGGACTTCTTAGTCATTACTCCCTTTTTTCTCATTTTTCATGTTGAATAATCTGAGTGAATGAACCAGAATTTAATTTACCGTAATATTTTATCAATTAAAACTGTGCTTACATATAAATTTTCCATATTAAAAAGCAGTGCCTTTCATTAAGGATACAGAAAATACTATTTAAGTATGTCCTTTGCTTTTCACAAGTGAATAAACACTACGGTCCTGTTCTGGCTCTACCCTGCACAGCTATTATTGTAAGGAAATTCTAATATCCCCATTAACTTATAGGTTCATATTGATCTCACTGACAAGTTTACTTTTGCACAGCCTGACCTATTTTCTGTCTTTTAGACATTGCATTTCATTTCCGCCAACATGCTGTGTTCACATGAAAGCAACTGGCAAGTTTTGACAAACCCGGTCTTATTTAGACAACTTTGGAAAATCCAATATTGACCCACTTTTTTTTGGGGGGGGGGAACTCCTAATAGTTAATGCCAAATATATGACTGCACTATTGTGTTTTACACTCATTTATAAAACTGAAAATGAAGTCATGCATATTGCCTTTTAGCTTTAAATAACTTAAAACAAAACCAACTTTGTCATATGAGTGGTCAAAATCCATGTATTTAGGCAGAAGCTGAAGTTATGTGTGAATTTCACTTAGCCTCACAAATTCTAGGATTTGATCTCTTAGGAAATTGGGCATGCCGAAGAAATGAAGATCTGTTGGGGAAGATAGGCTGACCTTTGCATAGTTGTTACTCTCCTGTGAGTCTTTGATTCTGCATGGTGGCATTATGAGCTCTTGTATGGACTAGCCTAATAATGAGCTCCTTTCTGACCATCCTTTCTGGACCTTGGGGTGGGGGCTGGGTTCCACGTCCTCAGAAGTATATACATTCTTGTACAATCAATGATAGTACAACTGAGTAATGCAGGCTTCATACTCTTGGCCTCTGTTAGACTGCTAAGAATTTGGAGAAGGCTACTAATGAAGGTAAGGTAATGAGCCAGTCCAAATCCCATGCCATCTGACCAGGGGACTGAGCCAGCCCACTTAACAGCCCCTAATTCTCTTCACAACTGCTGTAACATTTGCAAACGGGACAAAAAGGTTGAAGTGAAGGAAACTACTTGAGTTGAAGGATCAATAGAAATTCAAGAGGTAGTTCATAATGACCTTATGTATGGAAATACTCATTTCTGGCATGCTTCTTACCAAAATATTTAGAACATTAGTGACAATATGGAAAACTTTGCTGACTGAGCTGATCAATGGAATGTGAAGGCAGTATACTTTAAGGCTATTTACTTTCACACAGAATGTTTATCTATTAGTCAGTTTGTATTCTACTCAAATGCAGATAGACGGGTATAATGTTTTCTTCTGCATTTGAAACCTATCAAGGAGAAAATAAACCATTCCACTAAAATACATAGGCCAAACACCATCTGGGCAAGTGATAAAAGCTATCCAGAGGCTATGCTATGTAAAATAGCAAGGTCAATTTACATGGGTTGCATAGTACTTGGCTATGCAGTTTTCAAAAGAATACTTCCCAAAAAAAAGTCTAAATTAATTCCTACAATAGGTCTTTGTAGATTTAAATATATTTGTGGTTTGGAAAACATGTTTTAGAGACGTTTGGAATTTCTTTCTCTGAAAATGTGTCCAACTACAGGCAGAAAGATAGTTCTATAATCCCATTCTCATGTTTCTTAGCAAGAATTGGTTATCATGATTATCAAAACTGTATTTTTCAAAGTGAAAGGGACACAGTTTGTTGAATTATTGAGGCCACTAAAGTTCTAATATATATATATAAATATATATATATATATAAATTAGTGTGTGTGTTTGTGTGTATGTGCGTGTGCCGTTTTTACCACCACCTATTTGAACTTTAACATCTATTTTGCATTAATCAGAAGCAACTGGTTACTTCCTTTCTTCATATGTGCAGAGATACACATGATCACTTTGTAATTCAGTGTTTTAGTTTTCTTTTAAAAAGTAAAGAGTCCAGTTATCGAGTCACATGCCGATTTTCATATGAAGCACATTAGCAAACATGGAGCTATTAGTATTTCAGAATTCAAAACCAGCTGTACTTGTGACTAACCAACACATGAACTAAAGCTCACACTCTGTCTGCTAAGACCTCTGGTTGACATTCGATTTTGAACCTGCCAGATGCATTTGTGTGAACCAGGGATACTGCATCTTTAATGAACAAGTCTCTCCTCTTTCCCCTGTTTTTAAATACAACACAAGCAGTGTAGCACTAGGCACTGCAATTGTCAAAGACAATTAGACTGAAAGCAGGAAAATTTCACCTCCCTGTCTCAGTGATATGTAGAATGTCGGCAGCATGGGTCAGCCTTGCCACAGAGTTGTGTGA